GGGCTCACTCGCAGGTAAGACAGGTTCTCCAATATTTTTATATTCTTTTATTTGTCTCTTATGTACAGCAACTCTGACATACCTTGATCTTCGAGCTGTTCCGTCTCATCACGTTGCAAATAAGAGCTTATCATGGTAATTATCACAATGCGGGGCTTATTCTGTGTCTGTTCACGTCCCTCAATGTCTAAAAGTCCAAAAATACTCAGTAACTGCTCTTCAGATAGCGTACACAGTGCTTGGATCACTTCTAGCTGAAGTTCTTCCATGACGTTAGACTCCATTTTGTTATTACACAGATATAAGGTGACGACGAGTTTTCGCGCCTCAGCAGCGTTAGCTTTAGCTCTGAATATTAGCTTGGCTGTAACTTCACCTCAGATTACACAGGCTTTATTCATGCAGTCCGCTGCCGTTGCTGTAACAAATTTTGCTCTTTGTCGTCAGCCTGGGTTGTTTAGGGGGGATGAGAAAGCAACTTGGGTTACTCCTGACATGAGCTAGCCTTCGTTGCGCTCATCCCAGCGGTGCCTCCAAAATGTTACGCCCCTGAAATAAGGAGAAAACCACGAGAGTGATTTGGGTGCGTTTCCCTCTTGCAGGAGTTTAATACAAGTGAGGAAAGAGCGCGAACCCCCCCCTATCTGTCGGTGTGGGCAAAACCAATCGCTCCATTGTTGTTCAGGCTTACTTGTCGATAACAATCTTTTCTGTAAAAACTCAAAATGTAAATACTGAATTAACTGTAGATATTTTAACATACCTTTAACCATATTTATCTTGTTTTTTTAAATATTATGTAAATTATGAAATAACTATTTATTGCAAATCTCTTTTTCTGTATATATATCTATTACATTGTTTTTATCACTATTACGCTCACAGGTACGATCACAGGTACGTTCACAGGTACGCTCACAGGTACGTTCACAGGTACGATCACAGGTACGTTCACAGGTACGTTCACAGGTACGATCACAGGTACGCACACAGGTACGATCACAGGTACGTTCACAGGTACGATCACAGGTACGTTCACAGGTACGTTCACAGGTACGTTCACAGGTACGTTCACAGGTACGCTCACAGGTACGTTCACAGGTACAATCACAGGTACGTTCACAGGTACGCTCACAGTTACTTTCACAGGTACGCTCACAGGTACGATCACAGGTACGCTCACAGGTACGATCACAGGCTGTAGCCCAGAGCAGGAAACATCCTCTTTTACCTTAAAGGGCGACTAAACACCTGTGCCCAGCCTGACTCCGCCCACATAAAGATTTGATTTTTTTTCTTAAAAGGCCGTTGCCTGGAGGACCAAGGGACAAGAAGGGGGGGCTTAGAGTTTGGCGTGGTCTGGGCTGTGATTGACAGCTCACTTTTCACTCAAAAAAAAAAAAAAAACAGACATGTAAAGCTACACACCTGAACCTCATCCATTGATTTATCTCAGCAGCAGTGGTTGTCCACTCATGCAATTTCATTTTAAACCACTAGATGTCGCCAGAATACTCCAACCTGCTGCTGTGGGAGTGAAATGGGTTTATATCACTGGGCAGAGAGGCACGTCACACACACCAACTGTCGTCACACACACACCAACTGACGTCACACACACCAACTGACGTCACACACACACCAACTGACGTCACACACACACCAACTGACGTCACACACACACCAACTGACGTCACACACATGCCAACTGACGTCACACACACGCCAACTGATGTCACACACACACCAACTGACGTCAGAAACACCAACTGACGTCTCACACACACCAACTGACGTCACACACACCAACTGACGTCACACACACACCAACTGACGTCACACACACACCAACTGACCTCACACACGCCAACTGATGTCACACACACACCAACTGACGTCAGAAACACCAACTGACGTCTCACACACACCAACTGACGTCACACACACCAACTGACGTCAGAAACACCAACTGACGTCTCACACACACCAACTGACGTCACACACTCCAACTGACGTCACACACCAACTGATGTCACACACACCAACTGACGTCACACGCACCAACTGACGTCACACACACCAACTGACGTCACACACACCAACTGACGTCAGACACACCAACTGACGTCACACACACACCAACTGACGTCACACACACACCAACTGACGTCACACACACACCAACTGATGTCACACTAGAGTTTCGCTTTTCAGCCCGAGCCCGAGCAGGCCCGAGGCCCGACCTGAGTTCGGGCCGGGCTCGGGCCTCATTTGGCGCTCAGCTGTCGGGTTCGTGCCGGGCTCGGGCTTCTTTTTTTAAATATATGTTTATTTTTTATTATTATTATAATTATTTTTAAATTATTTTTATACATAATGATTTGCATATATATATATTAATAACAATGTCCGTTGATTGACAACAAGTTATTAAAAATAGTTAATATATTAATGACACCGTAACCAGCGTGTCCTACAGCAGCAGCGAGCCGTGAACGCATCATCCCCGTGTCTCCTGCTGCATGCTGTGGTCAACAGCGAACAGGAACAATAGTAGAAATGGATCAAGTGGAGACAAAACAAATTCAAAAGTGGAGACTAAACTTGCAATTGGAAGGTGAGTGCGTACAACGGGAAATCAGATGTGTCGGGTTCTGTCGGGCTCGGGCCTGTTATACAGCGTTCATTGGTCGGGCTCATACGGGCTCGGGCTTAACATTAGCGGGCTCGGGCCGGGTCGGGCTTCATTTTTCAGGCCCGAACGAAACTCTATGTCACACACACACCAACTGACATCACACACAACAACTGACGTCACACACCAAATGACGTCACACACACCAACTGACGTCACACGTACCAACTGACGTCACACACACACCAACTGACATCACACGCACCAACTGACGTCTCACACACACACCAACTGACGTCACACACACCAACTGACGTCACACACCAACTGACGTCACACACCAACTGACGTCACACACCAACTGACGTCACACACACCAACTGACGTCACACACACCAACTGACGTCACACACACCAACTGACGTCACATGCACCAACTGACGTCACACACACACCAACTGACGTCACACGCACCAACTGACGTCACACACACACCAACTGATGTCACACACACACCAATTGACGTCACACACACCAACTGACGTCACACACACACCAACTGACGTCACACACACACCAACTGACGTCACACACACACCAACTGACGTCACACACACACCAACTGACATCACACGCACCAACTGACTTCACACACACACCAACTGACGTCACACACACACCAACTGACGTCACACACACCAACTGACGTCACACACACCAACTGACGTCACACACACCAACTGACGTCACACACCAACTGACGTCACAAAAAACACCAACTGACGTCACACACACCAACTGACGTCACACACACCAACTGACGTCACACGCACCAACTGACATCACACACACACCAACTGACGTCACACGCACCAACTGACGTCACACACACACCAACTGACGTCCCACGCACCAACTGACGTCACACACCAACTGACGTCACACACACCAAACTGACGTCACAAAAAACACCAACTGACGTCACACGCACCAACTGACATCACACACACCAACTGACGTCACACACCAACTGACGTCACACACACCAACTGACGCCACACAGAATTACAGTCAATGGAGAGGCCAGGACCAAATGAAAATGTAGTACCACCGAAAAGGTAGAGAGGGCGCCACACAGACGTTTTTTGGTGTTTAGTCGCTCTTTAAGCAGCCCCACATTCAGTCTCCAAACCGTGCTCTTTGGCCTGTTCTCCAGGTTTATAGTTAAATAGATAGAGTTGTGATCAGAGACATCTGCCACTCCGATTCTACATTCAGTTACTCTGTATTGATCTTCTAGTCCCATTAGAAAGTAATCTATTCTGGAGTGTACTGCATGGGGTACAGAGTAATGTGTGTAGTCTCTATCAAGAGGATGAAGTTTTCTCCATACATCTACCATACCTATTTCCCCAAGAGTGGCACAGAGATGCTTTGTTAACTTTTTCTTGCTCCTGTTTTTACTAGTGGTATCCATGTTTAAATCCAGCACTGCATTGAAATGACCTCCACATATACAAATTCCTTCAGTCTGCTTTGTTACAATATCAAACATTACTTTATAGAAACCTCTGTCAATTTCGGGAGGAGCATAAATGTTTACCGATGTTATAAGGCTGTTTCCAATGGTGCCTTTTAAGACAAGACATATCGGCCCTCTTTATCCTTCACTTTAGTCTTTTTTTCAAAATTGATTTTTTTGGAAATAAGTATTGCTACTCCTCTTCTATGACTTTGTGAGAATGAACTGTAAAATATATCTCTATATACAAATGTAACTAATTTATCATGCTCTTTGTCACTCAGGTGTGTTTCCTGAAGCAGAATAATGTGTGCATCATCTTTTTTTAACTTATTCATTACCCTTGCTCTTTTAACAGCATTTCCTAACCCATTAACATTTAGTGACAAGATTTTCAATATTTGACTCTGCATTGGTTTAGTAAGAATTTAACTGCATGGTTGCTGGTCATTTTTAACAAACAAAAAACATAAAACAAGAACATGGCCATAAAGAACATAGGTTGTGTGGCTCCTAAACAAAAATAAAGTAACAACAAATTTTGAATTCCAAGGTAGGGCGTTTCAGTACCCTCACTAAAACCTACAGGTGGGGGGGGAAACCTCCCTGAGAAAGAGGGCCCCCTTCCAGAACAGTGGCTGACCCCTTTAAAAGTACTACCACTAATTCTGCCATTGGTAAGCTCCTTTTATCAGGCCAATTAGATTACAAAAAGATGACAGTCCAAGCTTGATTAACATTTCAGTCAAATAAAGTGGAACACTGAGGAATACTAAAACACAGCATGTACCGGTTACCCTTGGAGACATCATCGTGTTCCTCTTTTTGAAGACTGCTCCGGGCTCATTGTCTGGGTTTACGCTGAAACTCCTGCAGTCGTTCTCGTGCGCGTTTCGCTGCCTCCCTCTCCCCGTGTCGGTGGGTGCGCTCCACGCGATGCCAAGGTGATGTCTCCTCCAGTTGTTGTGATGTTATTGGGCCCTCAGAAACGTGCTCTTCTGTGTGACCAGCAAAGAAGCCCCTTTTGCGTAGTTCTCTCTCGGCGTCTCCCGCACTGTTGTACATCTGCGGTCCACTGTCCCAGTGGATTCGCATCCGGGTGAATGGAGTCTGAAAGCGGACACCTCTCTCCTTCAGTGCGGCTTTGATGGCTTTATATTCCTTACGTTTCTGAATCACGTCGGTGGTATAATCAAAGTTAAATGAAAGGATCCTGTCGCCAATCTGAATTTTCTTTTTCCAAGCATTTCTGAGGATTGTCTCTTTTACTCTGAACTGAAGGAAGTTCACTACTATGGATCTTGGCGGAGCGTTGGGGTTCGGTCTCGGTGCGACCGACCGGTGTGCATGTTGTATCTGTAGATCTGTTCCTCCACTGATTAGCTTTTCATTAGCTAGCAGCCCCTCCACGAACTGAATCACAGAGCTTCCCTCGGCTCCTTCAGGCACCCCGTAGATTCTCATATTGTTCATTCTCGACCTAGATTCCAAGTCGTTCACTTTATCCTGTAGCGCACTTTGCTCTTTTAGAGACCGGCTCAGCGCCTCGTTAGCCACCGCGGCCCAGGTCTCCTGCTCGTCAATGCGTGCAGCCATTTCCTCCAGCTTCTGCTCATGATCTTGTAGCTTTAGCGAAGTGGTGGCTAACTGCTGGTCAATCTGTATCTTAAACTGTGCTAACTCGTCTTTCATCTCCTTTTTGAAGAAGTCGTCCTTGAACGTTGTCCAGTTTGCATTAAGCGTCGTGTTTAAAGACATAATTTGTTCGCTTATGTGGTTACGTAGCTGGCTTCTTTCAGTCGAGTCATGGTCATACGCGCTAGCATGAGCATTAGCATTGCCTGGGAAACGGCTACAAGTCCTGAGTGTCTCTGAAACGGTTGTTGTTTTGTGCTTTATTTTTCTTGCTTTTTTTTGCCTGAGATGTTGCTGCAGTTCAGTGTTCATGGTTTTACACTGGTCCAGACCAGAGCAGAGAGGATTCATGGTTTTACACTGGTCCAGACCAGAGCAGAGAGGATTCATGGTTTTACACTGGTCCAGACCAGAGCAGAGAGGATTCATGGTTTTACACTGGTCCAGACCAGAGCAGAGAAAATGGTCCGAACCAAGCGGCTCCTCCACCTTTTGACCTGTCCTGCTCCACCAAGACTACTACACCTCTGCAAACTACTCCACCTCGGCTGCTGTGACCTGTCCTGCTCCACCCAGACTACTCCACCTCTGCTGCTGTGACCTGAGGCTGTTGCTGATTATTACTATTATATTTCTTTTTAGAATGATCAATTTTATGTTTTATTTTTGCTGCTACTGGACACCTGAATTTCTCCTACAGGGATCAATAAAGTATCTATCTATCTATATACAATTTTAAATACAGTGAAATTCAAATGTACCTTGTGTGCAGCCTGATGTCATCTTCGCAGGATGCAAACCGCTCTAACCCAAATCTGCAGCTGATCACCGTCTCCTCCATTTGCTTCTGAAGCCTCGCGTTCTCAGGACCTCAGTTTCCTCCAGAGCCAGATCCACTGCTGCGGGCCAAGCCGAGGAACAGTAGTCGTGCTCAGAGTGGTCCATAGAGCACTCATCCTCCTCTACAATGGTTGGAGACAGGGGTCTTACTCTCCCAAACCCCAGGACGGGGGGAGGCAATGAAAAGCTGTTCCATTCAAACAGAATGTGATGCTTCAATCACATCTGCTGCTGTAAAATGACGGCTACAGATACGAGTGAGATCACCAACTATACATGTATCTCTTTGTTTGGACACTTCAGGTCTCTTTCATTGTGCTGTCATTACACACCATACCATTATGGTGGGACCATATCCCTCTCAGTAGCCACAGTTAAAGCTATTCCTCAGACAGAAAGCACATTGACACTTGGAAGTGAGTTCTGGATCAGTCTCACAGCTGAATGTATTGATCTAATCACTAAACTCATCACAGGCCATAGCGCTAGCACGAACTGGAAGTAAACGAGCCGTTCTAAATTTACAGATTACGTCACGCCTCTTCGTGCATTTAGCCCATTATCACAAAAATAGTGTAACAAATAATTTTTAAAATCCCCAAAAATCAGGTAAAAGCAGCTCTAGTTCCACTAATTTGCTCATTAATGATGCGGATACTATTGCAAACATCTTTAATTTACACTTTTCTCAATTGCCTCCGGTCCAACCTCCTCCACTTTCTTCAGTCTCCTCCACTTATGTTACACCTGACTGTAGTTTTTTGTTTAGACAGGTAAGCCCAGCTTTAGTACAGCAGACCATAAACTGGTTATCCCCTGGCAGTGCTGGTCCAGACAGCATCGACACCAAGTTCATCAAACTTGCATCTCATATCCTTTGCTTTCCTTTGGCAGATCTACTTTTCAATGTATCCTTTCAATCATGTGAAGTTCCCTCTGCCTGGAAATGTGCAAAGGTCATCCTCAAAGGCGGTGACTTTAGTGATGTATCTAACTATAGACCCATTTCCATTATTATAGTATTGTTAAAGTGTATAAAAAAATAGTGTTTAATCAACTATCTCAATATCTATCAGCCAATAATCTTCTTTCTCCCTTTCAATTTGGATCTAGAAAACACTTTCCAACTACATCTGCATTATTAACATTTACAAACAATGGGCCTCAGTCACGAATAACTTCTTAAGAAACTTCTTAAATTTCTTCTCAAGTCGTTCTTAAGTAGATTTCTAAGAAGAGCCTACGTGGGATTCATCAACGCGCTCTTAAGCCGCTGAATTGTTCGCAGCTGTTCTCTCGCATTGATGAATGCTAACTCCTCGTAAGTAGAGCGCGCGTGCCCGGTGATTCATTAGCATAGGTACTTAGCATAGGTAACCGCCCACTAATGCCCATATAAGGGACTGCAGGGCCGTGTGCAGACGCCAGAGGAAACAGCAACAGGCCTAATGCAAAGAGTTACACGGAGCAAAAGAGTCAAATATTATGAAAATAAAGTCGAACTAGCAAAATTATGAGATTAATCTAAGATTATGATGCGATTAATCTCAAAATGTTATGAGCTTAATTTAAAAATATATTATGTATTATTTTAAAGATTAATCTCAAAATATTTTGGACCCTGGGAGGAGATCCAGCGCGGACCAGCGCTGAGACCAATGCAGACCCGAGGCTGGAGTGACCAGCACACAGAAACCAGCGCGGACAGGAGAGACCGCATAGACTGTAGTGACCTGACTGGAGAGACCGGTGCGCAGAGACCAGCACGGACCAAAGAGAAACCGCATAGACCAGATTTGAGAGACCAGCGCGGACCCGTATGGATCCAGGAGCACGGACCCGTATGGAGAGACCAGTGCAGACCCGTATAGATCCATGGGAGAGACCAGCGCAGACCCGTCTAAATCCATGGGAGAGACCAGTGCAGACCTGTATAGATCCATGGGAGAGACCAGTGCAGACCCGTATAGATCCATGGGAGAGACCAGTGCATGGACTCAGCGCGGACCCCGTAACCTCCTGCAGCAGCAGTATATATGCCGTTGTTCTGTGGCGTTGGCACATTGAATTTCAAAATGAATTAAAAAATAGGCTAAATTACCATTAACAATTAAATAAATAAATACATGTATCATTATGACGGATATATCACTGTAATGTTGTGTTTTATTGAACTTCACAACACCAGCGTGCGAATGTGTCGGCACTGAATGTGCGTACGAGTGCTCCTGAGCATTCGTAGGATTTGTGTTGGAAAATGTATGTAATATAATTTCCTGCTTCAGTTATTATGGTAAAGTGTTGCTATTATTCAAATGTTTTACTGTTGTAAAGGTGGTGTGCCAGAGGAAGTGTGGCTCAGAGACACAGGAAGTCGTGAGGCGCACTCTCTGTCCACACACCCTCCACCTGCTATGCTTACTATAAAGAACCGGAAACTGGTTCTGCAAGAGCAAAAGTATAATGCTTGCAGGCACACTGTGGTGTGCAGCTTCACTCATGGAAATGTTTTAACTGACTGTTGTGACAATGTTGATCCGCCCCTTTTACGCATACTCAATAAAAGCTGTGGGACGGAAAGGGCGGGTGGGAGACTGCTCAACCAAGCAACAGTAGCGGTTTGGGTGTGAAGGCTCTCACACGTTTCCCCCGTGTTCACGTAAAACTGCAGACCGGTGTCTCGATCTTTTGTTCGAGTTTTAGAGTTAACCTTACAAGGTGAAGTGGCCCTGTCCTGAGTACTTTGTAGTTGGATTTCTTTCGAGTCTGTTGGTTATCATACACTCTTGTGTGGATAAATTCCCTGACAATTTGTACGTACCCAAGAGAAATTCTGGTTACGAGAAAATGTCATGAATGCCACAATCTTCGTAAAATCTTCGTAACAAATTTGTTCTTAAGTACGGTTCGTGAATGAGGCCCAATATTTTTTCTGGCTTTGACAATAACTTGCTCAATGGAGCTTGATTTATAGATCTCACAAAAGCTTTTGATTTGGTCGATCACTATCTGCTTTTGGACAAACTCCACTCATTGGGTCTAAATAAGTCTCACTCCTGTGGTTCAACTCCTCCCTTCATCATCGTCAACAGTGTGTCTTATACAAAAGAAGCTACTCGGAATTTTTTTATAACGAGAGAGGTGTGCCGCAAGGTTCATCACTGTTTTTCATTTGTTTTAATGATCTACCTCTCATATGTAAAGACTGAAATATACAACTTTATGCTGTGAACAGTGATTTATTCATTCAAATCAAATATTACTGACATTCAAAACTCCATTGAACATGACTTTGACAGTTCAACTCTGGCAACAATCCAACATCAATCTTGTTTTTAGACACGTCACAAGTCCCTATTGTTGATCAATTGCTTGGTTCATGCCTCGACTCATCACTCTCATTTAACAAACACATACAAATAATCACAAACAACATTTCTTATTGTTTAAAATTACTTCATCAGTTAATTAATTGGTTTAATTAATTTAATTAATTTTCCTACATTTTTCAAGTAGGAAAAGGATAATTTCACATTTAATTCTTCCCATTCTTGATTACAGTGACATAATTTATCAAAACACATCTGCCTCCATCCCCAGCCTCTGAACACATACAACTCTTCACACGAGCCACCATCTGCAAATGTCTTTTTATTCTCCGATGGACAAACATCGGCCGATACCGATAGTTATTAATAATCTGATTGTTATTCATCTGTAATCTGAGTCTGATAAACTATCTTCTTCAAAATCAAGATGTTTCATTTCTAGGGGCTTATCCTCCCAGTAAATAAATGAAATAAATACATAAATCACACTCAGCTGCCTCCCTCCCTCTGTTTCCTCTTCTCTCTTCTCTGGTTCAGTCGTTAATGTGGAAGGCAGACTCCTTAAACTCCTGCAGTGGTCCTGATTCAGGCCACAGCTTCTGCACTATGGCCTTAGCGTTTTCAAAGCTCTGAAACGATCTTTGCTTGTTGATTGGGCGTTTGTTCTTCTCACAGAATCTCACACTCTTGTGGAGGTCCGGGAGCTGTAGCACCTGGAGGAAACACAGGTTCAAATTAAAGTCATCATCAGAACTTAAGCTGCAGGACTCGATATAAAGATAGATGCTTTATTGATCCCCGTAGGAGAAATTCAATCTGGAAAGCTTTACCTGTCCATGAAAGCAGACAGATCAGTGACAAAGGCTTAGTGCATAAAGACCCTACAAACATGGATGACCCTAAAGAACAGAAGTAATCCTACTCAGTCCTAAGCGTCTCCATCGCTGATCAGATAATAACAATCCATAATGTGAGGAATCTTGGAGTCGTTATTGACCAAAAACCCTACTTCAAGACCCCTATAAACCAAGCAACTAGGAATAACCTTTCCAAAAGTGATGCAGTCTGTGACATGTACTTACAGTCTGTGACATGTACTTACAGTCTATAACCTGTAAATCGAGAGCTTTGCCTTTCGGCTCAGCTCTCTCTTCACCACGACGGTCCGATACAGCGACCGCATCACTGCGCACGCTGCACCGATCCGCCTGTCAATCTCACGCTCCATCCTTCCCTCACTCGTGAACGAGACCCCGAGAACTCATCCACTTGGGGAAGAACCACTCCACCCACCTGGAGAGTGCATGGCCTCAGATTTGGAGTTGATTATAATCCCAGCCGCTTCACACTCGGCTGCAAACCGTCCCAGTGCATGTTGCAGGTCCTGGTTCGTTGGAGCCAACAGGACAACATCGTCTGCAAACAGCAGAGATGAAATCCTGTGGTCCCCAAACTGGATCCCCTCCGGCCCCTGGCTGCGCCTTTAAATTCTGTCCATAAAGACAGTGAACAACCTTGGCGGAGGCCAACATGCACCGGGAACAGGTCTGACCTACTGCTGATGCGAACACAGCTCTGGCTCCAGTCATACAGGGACCGGACGGCCCTCAGCAGAGAACCCCGTACTCCCGGAGGACACCCCGGGGAACCCGTCCAAATACCTTCTCCAAATTGTGTGTGTCTGCAGTCTTGATGTCATTATAATGTGTGTAGAAGTTACCTTATCACCCACGTCCAGAGCCAGAGTCGCATGATCCCAGACGTAATGCTGATAGACACATTTTTCAGCAGACACACCGCCCTCATTCTCCATCAGGCGAAAACTGAAACAAACACGCTACACGTTACTGCAGTCTGTATGTGACGTTTATAGTTGTGGTGGTCATACAGGTTTATGGGTAAGACTATCTGTCTGCAAGCAAGGAAGTCAAGGCTATGCTAGTTTATTTGTATAGCACAGATCTTACATTAGGCAACTCAAAGTGCCGAACAAATCATAAATAATCACAGTACATTAAAAAAGAGTAAAGATATAATCCTTCAGTTGTTGCAGCCAAGTTTGAAGTTTGAAGAAGTTTGTCTCAAATTTTCAGAAAGACTGCATACATCGGAAACGCTGCCTCACCATGTTTAATAACAATAATAATGCATCAGTTTTATATTTTCTGGACACTCAAAGACGCTTTGCATGTCATTATTCATTCACTCCAAACACAGTGGTGGGGTTAGGGTTAGCTGTGGCTACTACTGTAGCCACAGCTGCCCTGAGGCACACTGACCGAAGCAAGGCAACCCGTCTGTGCCATCGGCCCCTCCCACCACCACCAACCATTGATACACACAAAAGACTCATTCTTATGTGGGTGAGGTGTCTTGCCTCAAGACACAAAAGCAGTTTGGCACTTTACAGCCGCAGCCGCCCCACTGTGGCACCTGCTGTTCCCAGACGTTAAGTGTCTTGTCAAGGACACAACGACAGCAGACAGAGGGAGTCGATGGAGAAAACCTTAAGGTGGACTCAAACCCACAACCTTCAGGCTCCAACGCCAATGCTCTACACACTGAGCTACTGTCGCCCTATGGCGTTAAAATAGGGTCTGCTTGAACGTAACCGTAAAGCAGGAATTGTAAACGTAAATATATTGTAAAACTTACACTTACGCTTCTCATTTTTCATGTTTCGCTTCAAAAGTTACGTTTACGAGTCAAAAGTTTACGGTTACGGTTCATTTTTCATCTGACACTTTTTTTAAGGGGCGGGCTCAGCGCCCATTGGCTGGAGCGACCAGATGTTACGTCATCACAAAACCAAAACACACACGTTATTACCGAAGACGAAGAACAAGGCCTCTGGTCATCTGCGGAGACCTGCGTATATAAATGCTAAGAGCAAACTTCATATCTGTCTGTGTGTCTGTGTCCTACAGTAGATAGTAATGAAAAAGTCCAGTCCATGAGTGATCACTCGGTTACATCATGTCGCTATAAGAAGAGAACCTGCTGTGACCTGATGTAATCATGATCAGTCAAGTTAAAGCCAGCTCACTTTTAGCGCTGCTAAAACAAACAGCTAATGTTGCTATAATGCTAACATTAGCTGTTTTGCTAAATAAGTCGCTAGGGAGGCTCCTTTGTTTTAGTCTGAGAAGAAACAGTCTTCAAAGAACTAACTAAACAGTTGTTTATAAGTGAGCCTGTGAAGCCTTCTAGTCACAACAATACTGATGCTGTGAGTGGAAGAAGAGCACACCTATATTTTAGAGCTGTAAAAATATCTAAAGCCACGAAGTTTGTTGTGTTTTTACCATTAATACAAAGACAAAGGAGAACAAAAGTGTGCACCACTCAAAATGTAGTAACTACTTAATAATGTGGCTTTTTTCCTTTATCAGGAGAACTGTGCCTTGCATCTGAGGAGGGGACTGCTGAGCTGAGTGACGGAGAGACGTGATGTGGATTTGTGTTTTCTTTTGTACAGAGCTACTAGTAAAAGTCATCCAGTGGTGCTTGTGTCCTGCTCCTTCTTCAGACAGCGCAGAACATGGAACACAATGCAGATTACACCAATAAAGGGGTTAATGGGTGTGCACCAGGTCAAGACTGTAATTGAACAATAAAAGCAAGTTACATGTCCAGACCCTGCCATACAGGAACAGTTCAGGGTAAGGATGTACCCCAAGTCTTTGTAGACGTACACTCAGGCATCATAAGGCTTTGACTTAATGCCCACTCTCTGACTGTGGAGCACCTCAGCCTCAAAACATAGAACTCAGTCCCAGAGTGGAAGTATTTCACATTCTTCACATGCCCACAAAACACATGCAGCTCGCGAAAATTCAATTTGGTAGACGTCAGCCAAAAGCTACCCCCTCCAGGCCGGTTCGCTTCCCCAGCCTATCGCACAGCAAACGCCCCCTTCCAATCATCCGTGCTGGACAGGCAGCCGCTTAAAAGCGGAGAAACTCCCACTTCACAGCCTCTCGAAGCCTCGCAACCACCGCCTCCCCTCCTCCTCCTCTTCTTCCTGCCTCCAATCTGCCTCCAATCTGCTTCCCGCTGCCAAAATGCCGCCACCAGTGCCTAGGTCCCGGGGGATTGTACGCGCTCCATCGCAGGAGCCTCTCCGATCTGAAGGCCTCACCGGGGCCTAGGGCGCCAAACCACCTCTCAATAAAATACTCAAAACTATTTTCGTTTCTCGTCTCTCCAAATTGAAATAATTGTATGTGTTTATAGATTTATATGCTTTTGGGTTCTCTTTTAAAACAGTTTTTCTTGACACTCTTACATCCAAGTAAAAAAAGTGCATTTTAAAAACAGTTAAAATACAAAGTTAAAAGCATCATGGAGAGAGGAGAGTGTGGTTTTGATATTAGTGAGTGGGCTTGTCTAAACAGATGAGTTTTGAGGCGAGTGGCTGAAGGCTCTACTCCACATGGTGACAAGGCGGGCAGGAGGGACCAAGAGCTGGAGAGGGCAGGAGGAGCGGAGGGAGCGGGCAGGTGTGGAGATCTGGAGGAGGTCAGTCAGGTATAAACACTGGATGTCTGAATGAGGACGTTATAGATATTAGGCCAGGAAACAGACGGCCATTTACTCCTATCTACAACCCTCTGTTCTGTGAGAATAAGTGCTATTATATGTTTATTTGATAGGCACAGAACTAAAAGTATTGATACAGCAAGTTTCACCGATTTGTTTAAACATTCAGCTAGTTACCTCATTTGTTTCAAAACTTTATGTACAGGTCATGGACTGACAGATTCATTGCTAGCTAGCATAGGCTCATGCTTTTGTAAATAAAATGCAAACAAAAAAAGACATAGTTTTATTCACCTTTGATATCAGTAGATAATCCTGACATGACAAAGCATTCAGTGTGAACAACGTACAGCGGTGATGAAGGTCCCGAGATGTAGCTTAGCTAGCTAGCCTTATGGCAGCATAGGCAAATGGCGTTATTACAAGATCATATTTCACATGATCTAAACATGACCTGGTGTAATTATTCTATAGGGTGTCCACAGGAGTGCACATACCACGTGAAAGCCTGGTTAAAAAAATGTGATCAATCATACGCTGTAGAGTGTTTGAACGAGACTCGAATGTCTTGAATTTTGAACGGCGTGTGTTTTGGTTTTGTGATGACTTAACATCCAATTACAATACATTTATATGTTTACAATACTTACAACCTACGTTTACAATTCCTGCTTTAAGGTTACGTTTAAGCAGACCCTATTTTGACGCCATATCGCCCCGACTTAAAAGTCAAATAAGAATGAGTCCTTACTTGTGAGTCTCACTCATGGCCTGTGGTCTCCAGATGAAGTGAAAGTTTCGATCTGCTTTGATGTAGGCACAGATGCAGTTCTCGCTCTCCTCCAGCAGGGGGTCGTTTTCGTATTTCTTATTATCTGGACTGTGGACCAGCACCACGTACATCACTTCCTGTTTGTACAGCACAGTTTTCCACTTTCTGAAGACGGGAGGCTGTCCACCACAGAACTGTAGGAGAGAAAGTTACGATGATTGTTTGTGCTGTTGACAAGCGAGACAATGAGTGAGGGGCTTGTGGGTCTGTGAGCCCTGCCAAGAGAAGCCTTTTGCCCTTTTCAGTCCAAGATAAGTCATTCTGTGGAAGGAACAGGGGAGAGCAAATTATACCATGGTCTCACGGTTGTTGCCAACTGTAACAGCTGGATCAAATACACTGTCAGTTAGGAGACTACTACTACTAGCGCAGGATGACATGGATTTCGAGGTGAATTTTAGCATTTTTGGACATAACAAAAACTTTGAGGAATGGGAAGAAGAGGAGAACCAAGGGAATAGAATGCACAGAGTTTAGAAGTCACGTAGACGCACAGAGTTCATGGACGCAAGGCGAGGTGACCCCAGAAGGAGTTAGTGCACGATGGTCAAAAACATCAAAACATGGAGCACGGTGGTCTGGTGTGAAAGAGTGTGTGCAGTGTAAGTAAAGTTACATGTTTTGTTAATAAGTTTGTGCACAGAGTCTCAAGTTTATATTTGTTATCAGTTTCATGATCCGCCATGTTTGTTCTGAGATGGCCATTTACAGAAGTAAACAAAGGCCATGATGAATTGAGAATGGTTTTCACTATTGATCCATCATTGCAATTGAATTGAATCTAAATGGGGGGCGTGGGGGGACTATTTTTCTTTACATTGTTCCCTTTCATGGAGTGAAGGCTCCCGGGGGGAGTTATGTAAAACAGAATGTTAAAGTATTAGTCATAAGATATTTTGATGCTTAGTTTATTATGTTATAATAAGGAGTGATGATAATAGAATCAGTCTAAATAGCTCAACATAAAACTCAGTGTTGTAATCTGTGTAATCGATCAGTCAATGTTACATGAATAATCAGATAATGTGCAGAACGTTAGATACACACTAATGTGTGTCACCTTTGATTTGATGTATGTTTTATGATGAACTCAAACTAAAGTTTTGTTTTCTCTTTTGTGCTGAATGAAAACAAAGGTGTTTGACCAGAGCCTGGTCCAGTGGAGCAAAGAGACACCTCCTTCATCCTCAAGCTGCTCTTTCATCAGGTGCAGTTTATTATATCCACAAATGTTTCCCATGATGCACTTGTTTGTATAAGAGATGACATCATTACACACAATATGTCAATCTGTTACAAATGACACATGACTTTGGCAACTGACAGCACATATTTTAACTTAGTCTAAAAATGATCAAACATTTTTTCATTTCATTGGTGCGGCATATTTTGGACTGGTTTTAGAGTCAAGACAAATCTGAGAACAGAGGAAGGACGAAATAGCGGTCCACAGGTACAGATTGCAACACACGAAGACAACGAAGAGGACAAAGAACCAGACAGAAGACACCCCACGGTGTCAAGACAGACTTTGTAAACGGTGGCATACATGGCTTGGTGGCTGCAGAACAGACTGAGAGACGTGAGACACAATGGACCAAGACTGAGAGGAGAAAACAGAAGATGGGTCACGGTTTTTAATTAAAGACTGAACATTTTATGACCGAACCCTATCAATGTTTGGTATGAAAGAAGATGTGATGGAAAAATAACAAGAAACAGCTGCAACATGGTGACTGTGGGGTTTTTCTAGAGAAAGTTCTCAGTAGGTCATGAAATAATTACATATAATGGGAAAGATGCAGCTTATGTGAAATATATGAAATGGGAATGATCCACATATGTTTCAGATAAAAAAGAGTCTTTGGGAAGTGTCAATGTGTTACAGAAGTGGTTGTACCAGAAACCTTTGGACACTAGTTCACTTAACTGTTTCTTAATCTAATATTAATTTGGTGAAATTGTCAGGACCATGAATGCAGTGGTCTGTAAAAGGAGATAAGTTTTGTTGAATGACTTGAAGTGAGGTCTGTTGTGGGTGAGCGACTGTATTGATAAACACAGATGTGGCTCATAGATTGATGCCACAGAGAGTAATATTGGGTTTAAAGAACATAAGAGTCACATTGAGACTGATTTGGCGTTTGATCTGAAGCAATTAGTTAATGATAATAAACTGGTGTAAATGTAACAATGGCTGCTCTATGTCAGGAGGTGACTTCTAAAACTACTAAGTTTAATAACACTGGGTAACAAAAACATATTTTTTGAAAATAGTCCAGGGTTTTCCAGCTGAATTAGACTAATGTTGATGCTCTGAGTCCGAAAATAACCTTTGTTTTGCTCAATCAGGTCAGGATTTTTTGCTACAGAAATTTTTTTTTAAATCGATTTTGCGTAAAAAAAACAAGTTTCTGCGGATCATCAGCTGAGAAACCCTTGACGTTTTTTGGCTGTCATTTTGTAATTGTTACATTTAGTGATTAATGTGGAGCTGGAGTTTACAAAAATACAGCTGCTACAGCTTTAGTTAATGAAATGAGAACAACTATAGCTGCTACACAGCTACAGTGACTATAATAATAATAATAATGCATCAGTTTTATATAGCCCTTTTTTGGACACTCAAAGACGCTTTACATGTGTCATTATTCATTCACTCCATACACGGTGGTGATAAACTAGTACTGTAGCCACAGCTGCCCTGGGGCACACTGACAGAAGCGAGGAAACCAGTATGTGCCATCGGCCCCTCCGACCACCACCAACCACACACATACACCAGACTCATTCAAGGCAATGGGGGTAAACTGTCTTGCCTAAGGACACAACGGCAGTTTGGCACTTTACAGCCGCCCCACTGTGGCTGGTGTTCCCAGAGGTTAAGTGTCTTGCCAAGGACACAACGACAGCAGACAGTGGGAGTCGATGGTGAAAGTTGAGATCGAACCCACGACCCTCTGGCTCAAAGGCCAATGCTCTACCAACTGAGCTACTGTCGACCAAGGAGATGAACCACCTCCTCATCAACGTGAGGAAGACCAAGGAGATAAACCACCTCCTCATCAACATGAGGAAGACCAAGGAGATAAACCACCTCCTCATCAACGTGAGGAAGACCAAGGAGATGAACCACCTCCTCATCAACGTGAGGAAGACCAAGGAGATAAACCACCTCCTCATCAACATGAGGAAGACCAAGGAGATAAACCACCTCCTCATCAACGTGAGGAAGACCAAGGAGATGAACCACCTCCTCATCAACGTGAGGAAGACCAAGGAGATGAACCACCTCCTCATCAACGTGAGGAAGACCAAGGAGATAAACCACCTCCTCATCAACGTGAGGAAGACCAAGGAGATGGTGGTGGTTTTCCACAGACGTCACTCTGCCGCTCCAGCTCCAGTGAACATCCAGGGAAAGGACATTGAGAGAGTGGACTCTTACAAGTACCTGGGTGTTCATCTGAACCACAAACTGGACTGGACTCATAACACAGACGCCCTCTTCAAGAAGGGCCAGAGTCGCCTCTACCTGCTGAGGAGGCTCAGGGCGGCACGGTGGCTGAGCGGATAGCACTCTTGCCTCTCAGCAAGAAGGTCCTGGGTTCGAATCCCGGTTGGACCAGGGCCTTTCTGAGTGGAGTTTGCATGTTCTCCCCGTGTCTGCGTAGGTTTCCTCCGGTTTCCCCTACCACTAAAAATATGTACAATAGGTCTGGCATGTGCCTCCTGTACTGGCACCCCCACTCGCAAAAATAACAATTGTAAACCGCTTTGAGACTCTGATGTGCAGTGAAAAGGTGGTATATAAATAAAGATTACTTACTTACTTACTCAGGTCTTTTGGAGTGCAGGGGCCACTCCTAAGGCTGACTTCCTGAAAGAGGTCCTACATTTTGGGACGCTGCACTCTCCGCGTGCTGTATATCGAGTGGCACGGGTCATTTTTTCAGAGCACAAGGTCACATGTTTCCTGATGGGTGGGGCTATAAGACTGTTTATAATTTCAAAAAATTAGACACACATTATTATAAAAAAAATGATTTTCAAGGTTTAGAATTTAGTATTTTGTTAAGATTGGGCAGTGGTGGTATTGTTTGGGGTTTCTGTCATGTATTTTTAATGCACGTTTGTTTATTGATTGAAGAGGCCCCAGAGCAGATTTGGAGCCTTGGGACCAACTTGAAATACAGTACATGAAGTGTGCCAGAACCATAGCATTCAGAAACATTTGGGAGGCCTCAACTGTGAGGGACCCTCCGATGTGTCTGAAGTTGGCCAAAGTAAAGTTTAGACTGTTTTGAAGTTATACAGTACATACTGCTGCTAATAAACAGATGCTAACATACTGCTGCTAATGGACAGATGCTAACATACTGCTGCTAACATACTGCTGCTAATGGACAGATGCTAACATACTGCTGCTAATGGACAAATGCTAACATACTGCTGCTAATGGGCAGATGCTAACATACTGCTGCTAATGGACAGATGCTAACATACTGCTGCTAATAAACAGATGCTAACATACTGCTGCTAATGGACAGATGCTAACATACTGCTGCTAATAAACAGATGCTAACATACTGCTGCTAATGGACAGATGCTAACATACTGCTGCTAATGGACAGATGCTAACATACTGCTGCTAATAAACAGATGCTAACATACTGCTGCTAATAAACAGATGCTAACATACTGCTGCTAATGGACAGATGCTAACATACTGCTGCTAATGGACAGATGCTAACATACTGCTGCTAATGGACAGATGCTAACATACTGCTGCTAATAAAAACAGATGCTAACATACTGCTGCTAATGGACAGATGCTAACATACTGCTGCTAATGGACAGATGCTAACATACTGCTGCTAATAAACAGATGCTAACATACTGCTGCTAATAAACAGATGCTAACATACTGCTGCTAATGGACAGATGCTAACATACTGCTGCTAATGGACAGATGCTAACATACTGCTGCTAATAAACAGATGCTAACATACTGCTGCTAATAAACAGATGCTAACATACTGCTGCTAATGGACAGATGCTAACATACTGC